ACCACAAGCTGATGTAAGTTAAATAACCATTGTAAACCGAAGGGAAATTAATATCCATCCTACCACAGACTCTTCATCAGATCTAACTTGTGACACCAGATGATACATTTATCATTTGCGGAAAATATCATAACATTTTTTAATATTCTGAAATCTGTGAAGACCAAGAAGTTCATAGAAGTCTATAGGTTTTACTAGAGCCCACAATACAAACATGATATTACACACGGAATCCTTTGTCATCGTTCCATGTTTAGTGGTGTTATCTAAATAATCGTATCTGATGTCTGTAAAATGATGCAATCTTGATAATTTGATTCTTTTAAACACAGTTAACCTATATCACAGTCTCAGTCATACAACCATTCAGGAGCTAATTTCAGCTGGAAAAAAGAATACTAATAGGATGGAATTTCGCACAGAATATATTTCCTTAATGGTATATGTCGTTGTAAAGCATTTGGCAGGTACTATCATTATCATGACTCTGAAATTTATATATTATTGTAAACAAATGACGAAAGACTAGTTGAAAAAGAATAATTCTTGATTCCATTTGACTTTCTCCTGACGTAAACCGTCAAGAGTCATCTGTATGAGCATTTAATATAACGCATAAGAGTGATACTTTTTTAACTCATCATCTATGAATTAGTTTGTGATAAAACTCATGTGAAAAAAAAGGTTATTACATCATTAATTCATAACTTACTTCATTATATCAATTTCAATATCTAAATAAAATATTTGTGCGTGATAATCAAATATGAAAGGCAATTACTTTCCGATTTTACTTCAGTGAGAAACAAGCTTGATTATTGAGCTGTTCAATTAAAACTTTGTTTTCATGTATCTCCTCCTTTATAAGATAGAATAAATTATTTATTGGTTATTTATTTTACTATCTCTCATAACGATTACTGAGTAACAGTTTTCCGACTTAGTTTTAGATAAAAATGATCCGAGCTTGTGTGGTGAAATGAAACATGTTGTGTGCCTTTCATTCACACACTGAACTCAACTACTGAACTACAAATGAATTCTATGGGTCAGTTCGTAATGTCGAACAAACGTAGGCTGATAATATGAACTTAAATCTACTGCTCAATACCAATCATCCCAGAATACATTAAACAAACAGTCTAATTGATAATTCAAGGTAAAGTAGAGACTCATGAAAAATACTTTATCAAACCCTAGCATCATAATTAATTGCTAAATTATTTATTGTAAAACCTCAATATCACTTTTTGGTTTGGTCATAATTACTTAAAGCTTTAATGAAACAACGTGATCTTTAAACAATTCAATAGTCTACATTAAATGTTATAATTTGAATTACGATATTGAGTAGATTCAGTTCTGTTTTACTTTTTTCATTTACCTTTGTAAAACACCAAAAATGATAGTAGATGAAAACCTTCGACAAAATATGTTGGGAAATAAAATAATTTTCTGAAAAGAATTAGGATGAATATAAGTGTATTTGAGAGTTATTAAATTAAAAGTAATTTCGGTGTGACTATAATTTATGGACGAACCAATGACGTATATGATAATGGGTCTCGGATTTTGGAGAGAAATTCATTCATTCATTTGACTAAATGAAGTTTCGGCATTATAGCTAATGGCAGTTCTTGATGAAAACCCTAAATTGAATTCGTAACCTTAGCTATCAACAGTAAATCATAATTCTAATTCGTCACAGTAGTTTATAACCCTTATTTGGTCCTTGTTATTAGGTGGACATTCTCAAGGTCACTTTAGTGTCGCTCAAAGATTGTCCATGAACTATGGTTTCATTGTAATTCACTTTCTAATTGACTAGCAGGACATAGACCACATCGTTTTTAACCATAAAAACTATATTAAAAATGATCGTAAGTAACAATTCTGAGGAAAAGTTTGAGACTAGCGTTGGCTTAGAAAAAGTTTCAACATTAGATAATTAATAGTAGTTTAAATTTACATTTATTTCATAATTATGTTAAATTTATCCATTTACGTTTTATATGGTTGAGATCAGCAGTACGCATCCACGATCCCGCCTCACGAGATTCGAACTCAGAACCTACAAGTCACGCGCGCGAGCACTTAACCGATAGACCACTGATCCGGCATCCATGAGGTATTTTCTAGAGTTCTAGTGAGAAGCAGTGACCAGTGGAGTTCAACCAGGTCTGTCGGGAGATATCAACTTACTGAAGATATTGGTGGATGGTTGCTCAATTTCGTGGATTAGTTGAAGTTAGATATTAACACCGTCGGATGCCAGATCAGTGATCTATCGGTTAAGTGCTCTGGCGCGAGACTGGTAGGTCCTGGGTTCTAATCTCGTGAGGCGGGATCGTGGATGCGCACTGCTAAGGAGCCCCACAATAGGATGAAACGGCCTTTCAGTGCTTCTAAGTTTTCCATGGTGGTCTAGCTTCAATTGAATCATGATCTCAACCATACAAAAGTACTAAAATTTCGACAAAACCCCCTTCTGATATTTAAGTTTTATCATCAAAAGGAATAAAATTGACCTTGTCCAGATTATTTAATTTCACTTTATTCTTATCTGATTTCGATTAGAATTTCTCTTTAAATCTCATCTCGCTAAGGATAAATACAAATACTTGTTTATATTATTTGTTACGTTTTCGTCACTAACACAATATCGAGATTGATTTTTATTCGAAAATATGCTGCGATTCTCAATCAGTTTATCATTTTTTTCATTAACACTTCAATTACTTCCCCAATATTAAACAGTTTATCTCCTGTTTAATTATGCTAATCACTAATTGAAGAGTAGAAGGAAATAAAACTTGTATAAGGTTAAACGTTAGATTTTAGATTTCTTTCTGATTCATTGCAAAAATTATAAACCTTAACTTTGATCAACATCTCATAGTTTCTTGCTATCATTCTGTAACTCTTTGTACTTCAATTGACAATTGATTTAAATACGTAAGATAAGTGGAATGTTTAATTTATGGATTTCAAAGATTACTACTTTAAGAGCTGAATCTGAATCATTATTCTGACATTGAATACACCAAATACTTATCAAACATAAAATCTACCTGGCTGCATCTGCATTTCTCCATCTCTATACATTATTTCTTGCAAATAAACTTACAAATCTTCACAAATATGAACTAAGTCAATGAAAAAATTTACGAGACTAAAATGAACTGATCTTTTGGATGTGTGAGAATCATTTGTCATAGTAACAAAATACTCGTTTCAGCATAACTTCATGCGTAAGTTTATGGTGAATCAAATTATGTAAGCAACATAAAAAGCTCTTAGAATCTTTCATAATAAGAAGAATAAATGAATACAAAAAAAGAACAAGAGACTGTCAAGTATTATTCTAAAAAGCCTGCAAATTTTTATGAATACATTATATTTAACTATTTATCTTGACCTAAATTGCGCATATTGGCCCAAGTAATATTTTTAGGGTGTGTAAATGGGTGTGAGTAAACATTAACTACATCTATACATCTATGTACAAAAACGTTTTAGCCACTTTAAAGAATAAAAATGATCTTAATCTAACTACGTATTAATAAGGCGAGCTTTTAATCTATATAGTTGTAGTCGTAAATTCATGTTTCAATAACTGTATTAAACACATTACTCTCTTGATTTATCTGAAAAATAAAGGACGCATGAAATTTCATTACTGTTCATCTAAATTTATATAACAAATTAATAGTGGTAGCGAAAAGTGAATTTGACGACTTTCTACTTATTTTACTGACCACGTCATTATCTTCTGACTATTCTCTCACTGACGATACCTATTTTCTTATAGTTCCAAGTCTTTAAAATTTGTACTTGAGTTACAGTATAGAATGTGTTCTATAGTTATCTTCAACTTCATAATTTCATCGATAAAACCAGATGCAAATACACAAATTTAAGGTTCTTAGGATCTTGGTCTATTTAATTCGATTGTTAGATTCTTGAACTATGGAGTAGACAATTTAATGGCCAAAGGTTATTGGTGGATTCTTATTCTATTCAATTAGATATTAACTATTTTGAGTTGAAACTTTCAAGATTATTAGAGCTTTTAATTATTTCGGAAGTGTTACTTTCATATGAAGGGAGAACTCTTAACCAAAATGTTGCAGAATTTTGTTACAAATACGTTTCATACAGACTACTGAATTAGCTGACTTTGACAGACCAGAAGTATTGTATACCCATTTAATTCTCTGCTGCCTTCAATTAAACATCGTTCATCATTCTCCAAATGAAATAAAAATTCTAAAGCAAAGTAAGGAAACGAGCATTAAACTAATGAATCACTTGCCACTTTTTGAGTAATTCTTTTACTGGAGACAATTTCGAAGTATTCACTTCAATTGTAAAAGTACAGAAATACAATATTGTGAAACTTAACATCTAACCATACCTTTTCGAGAAATTCCAACTAGGTTTCCTGTCGAAACTACTTCTATTCATATTCTCCTCTATGAAACGGTCTGAGTAGCCATTTTTCATCAAGGTTTCCTTGAGGAACGCTCTTCGTTAATGCATTCCGTACTACATATACGATGTATACTATTACATAAAGAATTTATCAGGTTTCTCCTACTACTTAAAGGAACCAAGCTATAGAAATTGGTTAGTTGGACATTCCATGTTTGTTTTCTAAAGATAGATCTTTTTAAAAGACCAATATTTCTTCTAACTAGACGTACATTGAGAAAAAGGATTGATTGGTCTCGCTCCCTTTCTAATGTGGTGTCTATGAAAGGGTGGCATGAGTTACGTTATCTTTGTTATTCATATTCACATTTCCCCATGGAATTAGTACTTTAACAAAACATTTTCATATGTATATATACGATTGTACAGCTCGATAATAAATTCGTTGCAAAGAGATCCCTTCCCTGAACTTCGTGTTTTCAACAAATCAATGTATAAATACATAAATACAGGAATGAAAATTCCATATTTCCTTATTAATTTTTATAAATACATGTTTTATAACATTAAACTGAAGTAAAATATTCTTTTAAACGTAATAAAAGATTTTGTAAATCTTTATGATTTGGAAATAAATTTAATGAACGCTTTGTTAAATTATAACTTGTTTGTAATTCACCAAGCTGTAACAAATAAAATAATAAAAAATTAATTAAAACAAAAAAAATACAAAAAAAATCAAATAATTAAATAATCACTAATAGCATATTTTGTTTAAATTAACATTTTTTTAAAAAAAGAGTAATTAAAAAGATCTTTTAATGAAAATAACATTTTCAGATTATTATTATTATTATTATTATCCCAGTTACAGACGTCATATGAAATCAAATCGATTTTTAAAAACAAAAACATATTCAAATTAAATGGGTTATAAATTAGTAGAGTTTTCATTGTGAAATCAGTCATGTCAGTAATAAAACAATTATCCATTGATAATAAAAGATGACTGTCCATGATATTGTTCATTGACTAAACTAGGAAATATGGATTAAATTGATTTGAATCTTAAAGTTTGAAAAGTATCATATACATTAGATATATCAGAAGTACTAATGTTCGCTTCAATATGAGCTGATGAGTACACACTACTGATAAGTACTGAATAAATATAATAGAGCAGTTTAGTACTCTTTAATTTTGAATGATTTTCAAGTATATGCTGGTTTGCAACAAAAGCTAACTTTAATTCAAATTATTATTCTTGAACCACCTAACTAGGTTTGTTATAAAGATTATTGAAGTAACTTATTCAGATAATTAATCACTGAAATAGTTGATAACATTATCAATATTTATCATTTATAAGATAAAGTTCACCTATTCTCCCCTGATGGAATCAAAGTTTCTTCTGTGAAAAATCATTTATTCAAGAGAACGTGATATAATCTGATTCACATAAATCTATTAGCAAAGAACTTGGCATATAGCTCAATTTTTTAATCACATTTCTGAATTAATGTTACAACGTGTACGTGCGTGCATGTGCCCTATTTGATGTACGAACATGCTGATCCCCGCCAATGAGAGAAGAGCGAATTATCGATCAGAGCAATGATACACAAAAGCCGTATGAGCAGTCTTGAGTACTTATCAGTCCTGCTTTCTGCCTAGCCCAGCCAGTTAAGTCCAAAACATCAATAACAGTCTCTGCAATATGAATCATTATTCACAAACATACCGCGTTTATATACCAATCAAACAGACCACATCGTGCCATAAAATAGAAAATAATATTTGTACAATAATTGGCCAAATGTGGCTGTGAATAGGGAGAACAGTAATCAATAAACTGATGATAACTCAAGAATCATATAATAATAGTTCAAAGGTCAAAATAAAGCTTATGATAAAAGGAGCACGAATACCATTAGGTTAGTTACTTATCAACTATACAATAGGAAATATACCTATGACATTGGTCTGTAAATAGTCCTCAAAAGTTACCATTCACAATTCTCTTAGGGATACAACAATTAATATACCAAGAGATATATCAGGGATTATAGAAATCATATTTTAGGAATTAGCCACAACATTTGCTTCTTGATAAACCTCATATCTAACATGAATAAAAACTTACAATGTTAAACTTTTTTATATACAAAACAATTTTTCAACATAATTCAACCATAAATTGTACACTGCTTGTCATAAATTAATATAACATTTATTACAGTTTATGAATCCATCTCCAAACCCCACTACTTTAACAAATTATATAACAAACAATGCCTAATAGATAGAAATTTCTATAGACGAAAATTTCACCAAGTCATCAAATGTCATAGATTTATTTATTTTGCTGTTGTTGTTGTTGCAATCATTAAGAGTGTTGGAAAATTATGACATTTCAATACTGAAAACAATAAAATCATATTTTAAATATAGAGAATAATTCTCTACTTTACCCGGATACTATTTTTCAATATAATAATATACATAATAATATTACCCATTGAAAATGAAAATTTTGCTTGCATTTTATTTTAAGAAAAAAAAAGAAATAAGTAGTATATTTTTGTATGTACTTTTATTTGGTTTAGCAACTATAAAAAAAATATTAAAAAAAAGAATAACACCCTTATTTGAATCTATAGTTCCCAAATATTTTTTTGATAATATTTAAATATGAAATGCTTCAATTCACAATCAGTAACTAGTTAATATTCCTTTTTTTTCCTCGTAAATATTTATTTTACCCAATATTTGTTACCCAATAAATGGAAATTTTCTGGGTAGCGTTTTTAAACAGAATTTTTTTTCATCTTATTGGATAACAATTTGGACTTCGCAGATGATCTGGCTCTTCTATCACACACACAACAACAAATGCAGGAGAAGACAACCAGTGTAGCAGCAGCCGCAGCAGCAGTAGGTCTCAATATAAACAAAGGGAAAAGCAAGATTCTCTGGTACAATACACCACTCACTAATCGAATTACACTTAACGGAGAAGCTTTTGAAGATATGAAAATCCTTACATATCTGGGCAGCATCATTCATGAACACGGTGGATCTGATGCAGATGAGAAGATGCGGATCGGCAATGCAAGAGCAGTATATTTAAAACTGAAGAACATCTAGAACTCAAAACAATTGTCAACCAACACCAAGATCAGAATTTGCAATACAAATGTCAAGACAGTTCTACTGTATGGGGTGGAGATGTGGAAAACTACGAGAGCCATCATCCAGAAGATACAAGTGTTTATTATTGGTTGTCTATGCAAAATACTTTGGATCCGTCGGCCAGACACTATCAGCAACATTCTACTGTGGGAGACAACAAACCAGATTCCCGCAGAGAAAGAAATCAGAAAGAAGCATTGGAAGTGGATAGGACACACATTGAGGAAGCCACACAACCGCGTCACAAGACAAGCCCTCACATGGAATCCTGAAGGCCAAAGGAAAGGAAGAAGACTAAAGAACACTTTACGCCGAAAAATAAAGACAAACATGAGAATAGTGAACAAAAACTGGATAGAACTAGAAAGGAAGGCCCAGGACAGAGTGGGTTGGAGAATGCTGGTCAGCGGTCTATGCTCCATTGGGAGTATCAGGCGTAAGTAAGTAAGTAAGTAATAAATGAAAATGAAAAAATAGCTGGCTTAGAATTATAAAATTTGTAGTGTATTTTTGTTTCAAATTTCGTTAAAAGAAGACTTCTTTTAAATAAACTAATTCAAAAAAAATACTTAGATTGCAAACAATATATGATTGTTATTATCTTATTGAGTAGAAAAATTAACTTTGGACATTTGAATAACCTTCAGAACATAAGTCGTGTATACAAGATTATAGAATAAATAGAATGAACCAGATCAAACAGTCAATGAATACAAAGTTAAATTTGTTTATATTTATTATTCAAGAGGTTAGCTTATTACAAATTCATGAAATGTCGAAATATCACTTCTACTTAGTGAGACATAATATTTTCTTTTTTTTCAGGAACAGTCTACCTATCATTCATTTTAGGGAAAAATCCCAAGACAGATCTTACTTTTGCACTGAAATAATAGTTCATAACAATGATGTTTTTCTGAATAAATACTATGGAAACATTTGTGGCAAAACATTTTAAACCGTAAACAACTATCTACTTAAGAAAACTTGTTTTTAAGCTGACCCATCTAGTGAGTAAACACCTGTGTTTAAAATTTAGTTATGCGACTTTTACAATGTATCCAAAAGTTGGCATAGAAAGCCTTGACATATGAATCCAACTATAGAGTGAGAAAAACTAACTGATCATTTATTTTGAATTAAGATGAAGGTACATCAGAAATCGAATAAAGTGATTGAAAACGTAGATCGGTCGATCCTGAATCAATGACTTGAAGTTATCACTCTAATTCCAAGATCCCAAGGTCTTCGGTTAGATCAAGTGTTGGATCAAGATGACAATGATCGAAACATTCGATTATTCAGCTGACATCAACACCTAATAAAAATTGTCCCCCCCCATAAAATCACAAAATCAGTAATCAGAATTCATATTAGTAACTCTTAGAAGATCATTTTTGGTTAACTTACAGTTTCTGTTAGAAAAGCCAAATTGTGATGTGGTTCAAACAAATCAAAAGTTAACTGACATGACGTTTTATATAATTCTTTAGCCTACAATTAAAATATACAAATCAAAATGGAAAATTCGGATATGATGCAACAAAACATTATAGTTATAATTTTTAATATGATTGATCTTACTGCAATTAGTAATACAACACTTTTTATCATATTTACATCTCTAACCACATCCTTGGCTTTTTAAGTATCAAAGCTTCAATATTTATCACTTGGACCATATCCTAACCTCACTGTAAAAGCGAATATACACGTTTTGTTTGAAAAATATATATCTTTCTTATATATTAGACAATATTTATGTTAATTGGCATTTTGATTTGATGTAACAATTCAGACAGAAACATCGACATATTAAACAAAGTTAGTACACTGAATTCGCAACATGAAGACAAAATTCTCTAGAATAAACAGTAAAAAGTAGTACTGAAAACAAATCTAAACTTATAATTAGAGTTAACAGGAAAATATGAAAAAGTGAAATGGGAACATGGAAAGACATGAATAATCAATACACAAAGTTAATGTAACGTTTATACTAGAATACATTTGCATAGATATTACCTGGTGTTTCTAATACTTAATCTTTCACACAAATTACATCAGTAATCAATAATGTATTGCATCTATGTTACTTTTTACTTTGAGAAAATCCAAACTTAGCGTTTGCTTTCAAAACTGATTAGTTCGTTGTGTTTTAAGAAAAAAAAGTATCTTCAGTTATTCAATTATTTCATTAGATTTAAGAAAAAGTGGAAGTTGATAATTTCGACACTGATTTCACACATTAATTTATATAAAATCCATTCATTTTGAAATATTCTTACCATATCTATATTTCCACTTTTTTGTTCTAGCACACCTAAATTATTGTATGCTTCTGCATGTTTATTATCATTCATAATAGCAAGATATAAACACTGATAGGCCATTTGAAGTTCTCCAATATTCTAAGATTAAAAGATAAATAGATTTAAGATAATGAATTTATATTTTGCAATGTAAACGATGTTCTTCAAGCTGAAACAGTTAGTTATTCATGAAATGATCATATTAAACTTCTATTTGATAAGATAAACAACTTCTTTCAATCAACTACCGATAACAATAATATCTATTGAAAAGAAACTGTAACGTATATCAGTGTATCTATGAAAAATTTAATCTAATGTTGTACAATGATTATTTTCATGTTACTTATTATTACTACTCTGAATAATTAATTAAATAAAGTAATTATAAATAGTAGTTTATACCTAGAAGTTATTATTGGAATCAACTCAAAGTTGGTCTTTAGGTCATGATCAGTTTATGTTCTTAATTATCTTGATCACGTTAGTTAACATCAAAGTTTAGTGAAGTAAAAATATCACATATAGGTTGTAAGTTATGTTTCTTTATTATTATTATTATTATTATTATTATTATTATTATTATTATTATTGAGATCATGAATCAATTGAAGCTAGACCACCATGGAAAGCCTGGAAGCACTGGACGGCCGTTTCGTCCTATTGTGGGACTTCTCAGCAGTGCGCATCCACGATCCCGCCTCACGAGATTCGAACCCAGGACCTACCAGTCTCGCGCGCGAGCACTTAACCTATAGACCACTGAAAATATTTACTGTTTAAAAAGTAAAATTTCAAACGTATTCTAAGTTATATAAGGGGTTATAAAAATTATTATATTTCATTGAAATCACAAAATAGTTTACATTAAAAATTATTTTCGTTGAGAATTATAGAAATAAAAACTCTATTACATAATCACTCAATCATTCAGTGATTTTATTTTTTGAAACTTGTTACGTTGAAATTTAAAAAATGATTTTGGTCAGTAAGTTTGTTTTCATTTGATTAATCAAGTGTTGCAGTTTAACGCTAACAATTTCATAGTTTTTATGTTTATATAAGAAAATCATTATTATTTGCATGATATATGAAGACTGACTCAATTAGGAAGTGTTTTTCATCATGAATCAACATAGATGAAAGCATCAACTATCTTTCTCTAACTATCTAGTGTTTTAACTGTTTTGAGAAGTTTTCGTATTTGATATCAATTCATGATATACACTGTTGTGAAATAGAATTAGACCTTCTTGAATTATTTATTGTAATTCATTATATGTACTGTCATAAGTTTCATTGATCATCTTTTTTTTACATTACCTACTAACAATAAGCACACAAATCGGTCTCTCACTAAACGTATAACTGGGCATTACCTTGGCTGGACTTTGAAGTGTTAATGGAAACCAGTCACCAGATCAAAAATAAAACATCTCGTCACTTTTGATCGCATTACCTTACCAAAAATGTTCTTCAAAATATTCTAAACGGTTAAACAATTGGATTAGACAAACAGTATAAATCATTAACTTGCTCACTGTAGAGGTGTCAGAAATTTAACATTTCAAACCTGATCTCAGTGTTTAAAAGAAATAAGTTCAAGTTCACTTCATACCACGGTCATTAGACTTGTGACTTTTTGTACTTGATAAAATAATAGTTAATATTTTCTCTTAATATTCCAAGTTCTAATAACCTCCATGTTTTTTAAGTTATTCTTCACCTTTCTTGTATTCGTCAAATCGACAAGTATCTTTGATTCGTTTGATTTCATCTTAATAAGCATTCAGGTGTCAGACCAGAGATCCTGTGTTCGCTTCCCGGATGCCCTTCTTAGAAATCTTATACGAGGACAAAACAATTGTTCAATGTTTTCAGATTTTCAATAGCTGTTTAGTTAGTTCGCTCTTTCAACAACATAAAGAATACTGTTTCATAATACAAAATTATTATCACCATTATTCATTCTAATAAGTATATTTATATAAGCAGAAAACTGTATTAAATTCAATTAGTATTGTTTGTTTGAATCTTTCCATTGATGTTTTAGGACTGCAATTAGTCAGTGGCTAATTGGCATATGTGCATCCTATGTGTATTGCCTCGATATAGCCTTAATTCACAAGCATGGTAAGCAAAGATGGACAGTGGTTAGCAAAATTGTATTTCTGTAAGATAAAGTGTTTATACTTAAATAATAATACACAAGAAATCTTTAAAATACTATAGGCTGTAAATCATTTATCTTTTTATGATTATTAAATAACAAGAAATAAACAAAAAGTATAAACAATGAGATAATCATGAAAATTTTTATTGACATTTTGTTTCTTTTTTATAATTTAACATAATCTCATTGATAAAGCACATAATAATAATACTAATCAACAATATGAAAATCTAATCAATTTCTAGTGTTTTATTTAAGTAGTAAATAAAATATAGAATAATTTTTTCAGTGGACTTAAATTATTAGACAAAACAAAAACATAAACAGTGTAACTGTTGAATTCACTTAGTATTGTTTGTTTGAATCTTCCCATTGATGTTTAAGACTTCAACTAGTCAGTCTCTAATTGGCATATATGCATACTGTACATATTGCCTCGATATAGCCTTAAATCACAAGCATTGTAAGCAAAAATGGATAGTGGCTAGCAGTGGAATCCAGGAAGCGCATTTCGTCCTATTTGAGACTCGTCAACTGGATGTACCTGCATCTCAGAGTTGATGTTCACCCTGGTACTCGAACCCAGTACCTTTCGCTTAAAACGCCATCGCGTTATCTACTCGGCCACTGAGTCCTGATAGCCATATACATATATAATTTTATTGTAATAGATTTTTTTGTTTATATTTAATTATATGGTATACAATAATTTTGAACTTCTTGAAATCATAATCTAAATAAAAATCTTATCATGATAAGATTGATAGAAAATAAAATTAGATTTTGATAAATCAATTATTGGATGATGATATAAAGTATTGTAGGTGATAAATAACTGATAATAGAATCAATCTAGTCAACAAAATAAAACATAATTATCATTTAAATTAAGTGGGGTTTAAGAAAATTGGATATATATATATATATATAGATAGATAGAAAAGGTATTATAAAAGCCTAAATGATGAAACACTTATGTACTTTAGTATAATACATTTATGTAAAGAACCTAGGTCATAGTACTTGAAATATAAATAACGGATTGTTATTGAATTAAATGGCTCCATTCTGATTGGTATAAGTTTAAATATCAAAGGATTCATTACGACTCATGAATGATGTTCATGTAATGAATTACTTTCATATTCATAAAATGAATAATATTTTAATCTATCTAAAGTACAGGGAATTGCAAATACTTTTATTTAAATAGTTGAAAGCGTGAGTCAATTGAATCTAAACCACCAGGGAAAACCTGGAAGCACTAGCTTAAATTGACTCACGCTTTCAACTATGAAAATACTAAATCTCCACAAAAAACCATTTTTATTTAAACCCTCGAAGTACTATTATATATATATAAATATATATATATATATATATATATATATAAATATATATATATATATAATGGATTATATTAATTCGATAGTTGTAATGATCAAATATTTCATTAAACGTTAGATTATTCCTAATAGTAATTCATCCTATTGAACAAAATTAAAAATTGACTTGATGTGTTGTAAAAATGATTATATGACTTACAATTGCGATATGCCCCAGATTATAGTAAATATCTGCTAAATTGGTTGTATCACTTAGTGCAATAGCTTGATTGAAAAATGATAAGGATAAATCATATTGTTGAGTATAAAATGTGCACAATCCTAAATTATTATATAATTCACTTGATTCATATCCATATTGTAGAATACGTCTATCATAAGAAAAAATTTAGAATAGATCATATGAATTAGGTTATAATAATATCAGTTGGTTGAATTCCATTGGACAGAAGCCTTAAACTTGGATTTCGTGCTATTCAACGATAATCAGCAAACTGAATCTAGAATATCGAAGAGTATATGACGCTACATATGCTATTTGAACTAGGGTTACATATTTAGTTAGCTGATTTTGTATAAAGCTCTTTAAGTATCTTAAAATACTGTTTAATTCACAATCTCTTCTATTAACTTGGATTATCAGATTGCGAAGCATAAACAACTTTAGTTTCACAGTTTCTATAACATTAGTTGAATGGTTATTGAACACTTGAAACTAATTGTTAAGATCTAGATCAAAATACTTCAACTTTTATTTCTTCTGGTATCAGAGTCAAATTATATATTTATTGCTTCAAATCTACAAATAATAGACCACTGAACTGAATCTCGATGGTCAACATACTTCGGTTTTGAATAACTCGTGTAACAAAGTTCATACAACCATTCCCTTGATAAAATCTACTCATAAATGATCAAATCAAAAGAATGATTACGTAGATAGCAACCGAATGAAATTAGAAATATGTAATGACTGGAATAAGACCTCAGTTTTTTTTATTCCTTTCATTCAAACGTCGAAGTGTTTAATTGCATGAAAGTTGCTACAACGTCAATCCCAACACGGTTCCCGTCCTACTGCTACTATTTCCTCAATTTAAACAACTGTTACTCGAGTACACCATTATGAGAAGTATAATCTCGCTGAATTGCCACTACGCCGATAAGTTTAAAAAGATTTGTGCAACTAATCTCCCTGTTTTATGGATTGTAGCGATTGTAATCAATTTCATTAAAACCAAGTGCATTGTGTTTGCCATACATTTTCTGTTTGACAAATATGCTACTGAAATTATGTAAGTAACAAGATGCTTTTAATCAAAATACTGACTAAACAAAATGAAGTTACATTGATAAGCTTAATTTATTTAGTTGTTAATAAAATGGCCGTAAATTCAAAGACATCACAGATTCACACAATGGATTGTCAGAATCAGAAATCTGAAAGGTAAGTAATTTTCTATTTTCGGTGACAGTTTGTTGATTACTTTTCGATTACCTAGTCGATAGTTGTTTACAATAAACCTATTACATCACCAATACATAAACTTACTTCAAATAAACTAAAATCAAACAACTAGAACTTGCCTATAATACTTTAGTGAGACTTCCGGTTCATCCTCATAAAAATAATGCATTGCGAGTGAAGCCAAACTCTCAACATTCATATCGTCTATTTGGGATATTTCCTTGTACAAAGCAACCGATTGTGATGCATTGTTTAACTTCTAAATAATATTTATTATAAAATGTATTATGTAGAATGAGATGAAATGGTCTAATAAATTACTACTGGAAATCATTACAAAAAAATGGCCTATCGAGACTGAAACCCGTATAATGGTTACAACTATTTACGAGTAAGAATGAAGTGTCAGACAAAAATAACTCCCTGCATTAAAGTGTGTAACTCTTGATATTTCTTATTGAGTTTTTCACCAGATTTGTGAAACAAATGAGTTATCATCATTAGTATTATCAGTATGGGTTGCGTTATTATTGTACCCCATATTTAATTCATAAGCTACCTCTGATATTTAAATTATAATTGCACTTCTGACAATCAAGGGAATCTAGAATGTGAGTTTCATCCAATTCATATCTGTTCAATCAGCTGTGAATTAGTGTAATATTTGAATTTAATAGTTGGAGTCAATTAAAGCTAGACCACCATGGAAAACCTGGAAGTACAAAACCCTCTCCTGGAAATATTAAAATATCTTAAAACCAAACTTTTAAGTATATTACACGTAATTAAAAGACAACACTTAAAGAAAATCCAGTTATACTTTCAATCACAGTCATGATATATAACCTATGTAAACAACAAACATCTATTTACCTGATATATTCTAGCTTTACCAGTTAATAGATCAATATCCTGAGGAAATCTTTCCAAACCTTTATCATAAATACCAAGGGCACGACCTGGCTGATCAAGCTGTATTGCAATAAATGCTAGAAGTGTATATGCTTCTATACTTGGATTTAATTCTAATGATTGACTGACTGAACATTCAGCTTCTCGTTTTAGTCCTAAACTAAAAACGATAGAGATTAAATATTGTTATCATAAATCTCAGTAAAACTGACACAAATATATATTAAGTGTTTGTTAGTTTAGCAAAGGGATTGTAACAGTCTAAGGAAAATTTTAAATTCTCTTAAATGTTGTTTAACAACTGGAATATTATTTGTTTATGATAGCATTTTGATATACATTTATGGTCACAGGTAGTTACTAACTGAAAAAAACCTCTCGCTCGGCTGTTTCGTAGTTGTAAAATTACGTAAATTTTCATGCTTTAGACTTGTTTCAATCGACTAATTGTATACATATATGCTTTCATAAGAAGCTTACAACCTATCATAGGATTAAACACTGTAAAAACATAAGCCTAACTACCATAGCATATTGTTATTCTTATGTTTTTTTCAAGAAGCACAGTTCCATTAGATTAAATTGCACGAATCCAATATATGGTGAGACGAGAGATATACTAGTCATAAACTTAGGACAGTGAAGACAAACACCGGAATAGCTATGTCGAAAAAGTCTTGTTCTTATATATTTGTTTTGAAAATTCACTAGTTACATGAGTATAGTAGAGGATTCGGTTGCAATACCACATATTTGGTGCTGAGAACTATCTACAGTTGTTAAAAATGGATAAATGAAAGAAAAAAATTAACTTCAGAAAGCTATCTTTCTGGAAATCAGTATATATATATATAACTGTGGTAATGTATTTAACAAATACTTTGTGGTATTTTTATACCATAATAATGTCGAGCTTTTACTCAGCTCATTAATTGTTCGATATAGCTCTTATCGTTCATATATTACAGTCAATTAATCAGATAAGCTTCACTCAGTATTATACCACAGATAATCAAGCTTTGCACAGATTCAATATTTTACTGACGTGAGTTGTGATCTTGTATTTCATGCATATAGTTATTTAAGTCTAAGCTATACAAGATATATCGGCTGACTTTTCATATATTCTAATTAGTAATTGGGGTCAAAATATTTGCGTGAGCCAAAGTGACGTTAACATAAAACGTAGCTGTATTTATGATTGCGTTTTATTAGTATAAAGCAGAAATTAAAACAACAGTGGCCTATTACATGGTACTGAATAAAGCAATTATTATCGCTATTGCTATTGTTATTATTATTATTGATATCAAGTGTAAGCTATCCACCAGGCTTCGTCAGATGATTTTGTCCTGGGTTCGCCTTTCCAGTTGTGCTATCCATTATTTGGATGTCCGCTCCCGATTACCGACACAATGTGTTCTTTGGTCTTCCTCTTTTCCATTTCCCTTCAGGATTCCAAGTTAGCGCCTACCTCGCGATGCAGTTTGATCATTCCCGCAATATATGTTCTATCCATGTCCAGCGTTCCTTCTTAATTTCCGCTTCAGATGGAAGCTGGTTTGTTCTCTCCCACAGTAGATCGCTGCTGATGGTATCCAGCAAATGGACATTGATTGTCTCGCGTAGACGATTGCTTAGAAATACCTGAACATTTTGATGATGACTGTGGTAGTTCTGCAAGTTTCAGCCCCGTATAGTAGAACTGTCTTGACGTTTGTACTGAAAATTCTGACTTTGATAGTGGCTGACAGTTGTTTTTAGTTCTATATGTTCTTCAATTGTAGGAATGTTGTTCTTGCCTTACCGATCCATGCCACCAAATCTGCCTGCATCAGATCATCCTCGTTTATCAATGATACTACCAAAATAAGTAAAACTCTCCACCTCTTCCAGATCTCTACCAAGTGTGATTTAGTTGTTGCTGGTTGTGTTACACTTCAGGACCTTGCATTTTTCCTTGTGTATGTTAAGGCCCTCTGGTGCAAAAGCTGCTGCTACACTGGTTGTCTTCACTCACATTTTTTGGTGTTTATGGGATAGAAGAGCTGGGTCATCTGTGAAGTCCAAATTGTTTGGCTTCATCCAACCTTTCCATTATATTCCGTGCCACCCCTGAGATATGGAGGTTTTTATTATACAGTCAATCACCAAAAGAAGGAGAAAAAACAAGAGCAATCAGCCTTGTCTGACAATGGTCTTAAATTAGTATGCATTAATGAGCTTCCCTCCATGCAAGACGCTGCAATCTAGTGCTTCGTATGAATTCCGTATAATGTTAATGATCTTTTCAGGTAGACTATAGTATCGAAAAAGGTTTCATAAGGTTCACTTGTCTACATTATCAAGTGCTTTCTCATAATCGAGTAAGTTGGTGTGTAGTGACGAGTTCCATTCAACTGATTGCTCGACAATGATACGTAGTGTCACGATTTGTTCGGTACAAGATCAATCTTTACGAAATTCAGCTTGCTGATCACGAAGTTGGGCGTTAAATGTTGTTAACTGTAACATTCTATTATTTACCACATTGAATTCATATATCTTCTCTTTTAAATCGACTCATCATGAAAAAGCATAGGGTTCTAATATTCATTAGGTTATCAATGCTAACTAACCTAGAGATGAGGTTCAGGTCACTGTCAGTAAGTGAGCAAAATCATTTAAACATAGCACTGTCATCGACATATCTCACTATCATTTGTCATTAATCTGGAGACATTGAATATAATCCAGTTCACTATCATTCATATAAATTTTGAAATGTTCACCTGTCTATTTTAACATTCTTAATTACTAGAACACAGTTTATTTTATCGGTTTTATCAAAACTAGGATTTTTTTAAAAATATTAATTAGTGGTTAACTTGTAGGATACTTATAGTTTAACTTTCAAGAAAAACATTTACTGGAAAACTCATTATATCTAAAAATTGAGGTAAACATAGTGACTGTCGGTTTTCGCTAACTTCTAAACCTTTCACCCTCAATTTCGAATAAAACGTGATGGTAATTAATAAAAGTATGTAAGAAAATACTTTAATCCAAAGAGATCAACTCCAAAGTGAAAATTACGAAATATTCATTTATATATATATATATGATGGCCCTTACAATGATTATACAGTGAGGTTAAATATATTCACAACAAAAACCGGTCAACATTTTACTTCGCTATTTTCTATAATGAAGCACAATTCACATAATTTTACATACAAAGACATGCTATTTTCGGGAATTTCGTGTGTTGTTTGAATGACAAATTATTTTGACTCAGCTAAAAATAAGCTAAGTCTTTCAAAAATACAGTAAAAATGAATATATGTGAGAAGGCTACAATTTTACTAAATCCTGTTTCACAGTTCTATTCACTAGAAGTACACTTGCAGTGTAGGACTTCCTCTAAGCATTCTGTGTCATCAGCTTTCAGAATTTGCATAGTCGAAATTATTTAGACACTAATACACAACACTTGCACTTGAAAGATTTTTTTGATAATTAACAAATTTACCTTAAATATCTGAGAAACTTAGGTGAAATAGCACACGGATGTATCTAGTCACTCTGTAGAAATTAATAACCATTACGATTAAAGATATACTCTCCTTGATTTATTCTAGAATGTGTTACAAATCCCCATAAAATACATATAAATTTGTACAAAAGATTACTAGTAATCCCATCTTTCCTAAACAAAGCGTCTTAAGTTCAGATATTGCTCTTTAATATAAATAATTAATAAATTAGCAAAATATACCATTCTTAACTCACCAATATAAACAACGTGCTTGCTGTAAATACCACCACCAATTTACCTCAACAGGTTCGTTATACGATAAGTGATTCAATTGTAATTTCGATACTGAATGTAACATGAATAAAAATTTTTAAACTCATACTCTGATTACTGGTCTTGTTATTAGTGGCACATATTAAATTCGTTAAATTGAGCGCTTCACGATATTCTTTAGCAACATAGAATAAATATTCGAATAATGAACATGCTACTTCTAAATTTTGAGTATACTTCATCAAATTCAAACGACTTATATGAACGGGTTCGCTGCTTAACTGAGCGGTCTGCAGAAAATAACAGAAATGAGTCATTCCAATAATAAAGTATTGTATATTAGTTATTATGAAAGTTTATTTCGAAGATTTACTGTTATGATATTAATACAACGATTTTGTAACCCTAGAAAACCAGCATCGTTGCTATTCCCGAGCAAGTGAACATCAACTGGCGCGAAACACTTTTCGCTTTCGCAAAGTATTAAAAATTCTAGTGCTATCAACTTTTAGTTTTATTTTCTAGGCTGCATGTGTTTTGTGGGCTACTTATAAAGTCAGATTTAAGTAGTATGCATCAGGAATAAGAAGTGGAATGTTTGCCAGCAAAAGATTGAAGTGGAGAGAACAGGAAAGAAAACGGAGAGCGCCTAGAATGACAACAGTGTTGAAAGAGTGATGCAGTGTGTGAAGGACAACTGAAGAAGGATGTGCAAATCATGTATTTAATGAATGATTTCCATGTTTTACAAAGGCACTGTGTAATGGTGTAAATAACAAAATATCGGTTTACCGTACCTGAGTCTTCATTCACTGCATGTGTATTTTATGTTCGTGTCATTACCAATTATCATCGATCGCATCTAATAATGAACATATGTTCTTATTACCGTTTAAGTCTTTGGCTTGCGTTTTCACTTGGTTTTATGCCTTTCAGTTCCTCAAATAAATGTTTTCCTTCAGATTATAACTACGACAAAGTGTCTCTAGTTTAGATTCAAATATTTTGCAAAATAATTGAGCAGTATCATCTGTTATTTCTAATTCTTCCTTTTTCATCATTTTAGAATTAAACGTCTCAACCATTTTGGCAATGAAAAAGCTTTTTGACTTCAAATCCTAAATATGCTTAGATCTGGGTGCTTTCAGTAAGTACGGCAACTAGATATAATCATACTTGACATTCATGGTACTAAATATACAATCAATCGCTAATGAAGAGTATTCGTGTTTTACGATATTTTATTTGAGGCAACATATATAACCTTTCCTTTGTAGTTATAAATTGACAACAACAACATTGACTGTATTTTGAAAATAATTTTCATTAATGACAGAAATCAGCTCCAACCACTAAAAGCCAGAGAACAGTAAAATGTCGACTTTGAGAGAGCTTGTACTAGCAGAAGACCAAACCAATGATCCCGCGGTCTCGTGACGAGTACAATATCTTTACCAAACTGAGTCGGCATTGACTGGTCAATTATTACCACTTAGATCAATCTTTGATATTGAATGGCCGTCATCCAAAGTAGTTGGAGAGTTTTCCACTCACTGGTGTAGTGCGTGGATAAAAGCACCCCTAAAGCATAATGGAATCTCTGAAAAGCCAAGTGACATTTTGATAACTTCTTTACCCAAACAATTTCAAAATTACCCACACTTAACTACATTTTTAACGTTAAAATGTTTTTAGAAATTAGAAATGAAACGCTTACGGTTCTTTTTCTTTGGCATTTGTTATAATGAGCAGTTATAGGTCTTGAAGTGTTACGAATAACTGTTTCGATGGAATTTGTATATGTCTCAGTACTGTTTGTATTATAAACACCTGTTAATGGACGACTGGTTAGATTTGATGGACTAAAATAGCAGATCCAATAAAGAACCATTGTTACTTACCGTATAGCCCGACTTAAACTACTAGTAGCTAGTTTGGAATTATGTGGTGAAAAACAAAGACAACGATTGTCGACAACATTTTGATCACGGAACGCAACATCAAAAAGGTTAAACTCCGTGTAAAACTCGTCGTCACCAATAATATTCTCCGTGATTGCTCTCATATTCAAAAGCCAACATGCCATTAATGAAAAGCCGATAAATTTTAATTTGTGCTCACTTCATTATCAGGATCGGTTTTCAATAGCTTTTCACAAATTTTTCTACAACCTTTGAAATCGCGACCGTAATATCTTGATAAGGCCAAGTACATTGTATTCATTACTGATTGTGTTGAGAATATTAAAACTGAAACGCAAGTTAGAATAATAATCGCGCTAGTTTGTTGAATATACAACTAATGTTCATATGATAATATAGATGATTTGTAGAGATTTGTAGTTTTTTATTACTAACTCACAACAATCAAAGATCCTAAAGCGCTGAATGATAACGCCGGTGCATTGAAAACTGAATGAAGGTAGAAATATGAACATATGTATACTGGCCTAATGGTCTAAAGCTTTTGCACTACTAGCGAGATATGAAGTTTGTTGATTAATTCTCTATATGAGTTAATAGTTTCGCACTACTGATAAAGCCTGGATGAAAGAGAAATAACTGTAATGCGGGCCTAGGTTTTTACTGGTTTTTCATATGATCCTAATGCACAATGTTTTTATATTCTTAAAATGTATGTTTCAAAGTCATATATTTGTATTATTAACAAAACTACATATTATTGTTTTTAATAGTTGGACGCAAAGATAAAATTTTAAATTATTCCAGACCAATTTCCTCAAGAAATATTGGCAATATAACAAACTAATGAAAATGAAACAGTCACTAAAATAAACGAGTCAATAAACAATCAACCATAAAATTTAACAAATATGTGCTCACAAAAATCAGGTAGTAGCGAAGTAGCCTAGCTTATATTTAAATCCTAATCGTATAATTGGTAAAGCAATTTTCAAAAAAGTGTAATAATCAAGTGGTTCTGAAATAGACAAAAGCCAAAGCAGGTGATTAGAAAGCTGAAGATAAGGATTTATTCAGTGAACCAGTATTTCAAGTATAATAACTAGATAAAATTATCACATGAAAAGTGTTTGTATGCATCAGTGGAGGAAATATATTCATTACTTGAACTACTTAGATATTTATCAGTTCTATGCAATTCGGGTGAAGAATGCATCCACGAAATCTCAACGGATGAATTTAAGGTAAATCTAATGTTTCTCCTGGCAATCTGGTCCAAGCGTTTCAAGAAAATATAGTCAGACATCAAGATTATCAAATATAAATAAGTACATGGCTCCCTGATTAACTATATACTAAACAGGTCATCCAATCACGTTAACACTGTTTAAAGTGGATATTTGCTTTAGTGTGTATGAGAGTCAGTCAGTCAGTTACAACGTAGGACCAGGCACATACATGCATCGGTCCAAGTTGCCATACCTCGTTAGCACAACAAGATGAACACCTGATTCATAGAAATAGTTAATTTAGTGGTGGTAGTACATAAAGAAAGATTGTATATAAGGATATAGTATAGGAAGGAAAAAAGTTATGAAGCAATTTTAATCTCAAGGTTTAAGGGAAGATAAAAAGTGTATACACCTACGCCATTGTGATCGATTCTGAGCCATGTCACACAGAGTCTACAACCATTGGTTACGATAGTTACGCGGACCCCAACCAGGTAGTCTGCATCCACCAACATGGCCCAGACTAGAAGTTAGTGACTTCAAACACTGATGCCATGTTTTGGTTTGACCACCCCTAACTCTCTTCCAACCATCCCGAATACTAGTCAGCATTTCGCGTCGTGGTAATCGGTGTTCAGGCATACATAACACGTGGCCCAGCCATCTCAGTTGATGAAGATTCATGACCTCATCAACTGATTTACCATCATTCCCTAATACCCTGCGTGTGTATGAAAAATGTGATGTGTCACGAAAAGTGTGTTAAAATAACAGATTGTGTGTATTCGTAAGTGGATCTAAGGTGTGAGAAGAAATTTCATTCACTACTCATCGCCTCTGATCGATGAACTTTTAAGAAAACATGCAATTTTCATATATATGATATGAGTCAAATATGTGCCAAAATGCATGGAATGAAAATAAACAAACAAAATAAAAATGAAGAGACGAGTGTTTGTGTTGTTTTCATTATTCCGGCTAATTGTTTAACATATTCAAATAAGACAAGTGGTTAGAAAAATTAAAAGTAATTGTCGTTGTTCAGATAATAAGTGATATATTAAATGGAATGGGGAGTTCAAGTTTACTTATTAATTATTAGTTGCCATGGGAAAACTAACTTTATTCCGTCTCTCCTATTATTACTATTTGGATTTGCCTATATGTGTAGGGTTTCGGCTATTAGTCTCTCTTAGTAAGACTTAAAACCTTTTTGTGCCATTGAGATCAGTAATATGACCCCACTTTATTGAGTGTAGCGCTATTGTTGATTTTTTTCCGAGTATTTTTTATATCATCTGAGGATTTAGGTATGTGTTTTAAGCATAGTTTGTTTTCCTTCACCTTCACACTCAGTTGTCTTGTTGTTTCCCCTACATATGTAGCATGATAACCACTACATGTTAACTCACAAACACAATTTTGTTGTTCCTGTTTGCATACCGAATCTTTGATTTTAACCAGTTTTGATCTTAGAATATTGTTTGTTCGGAAGAATACTCTGATATTTTGAAGGGTTAGGATCAATCTTGTTTTATAATGGAAAATGTCATCTACGTATGTTAACCAAACGTTTGGTAGAAGAAAGCACTTTAAGATTGCACTTGTCCTTATCTACACTATTTGGTTTGCGTGACACGTTTTGCAATCGCATTAATACTCAAATTTATTAAAAAACTTTCTTGGGTCTGAACTTTTGATTACACTCACTAAATTCGCTGAAATCCCATTAGGCAGTTTGGAAGTAGACATTTGTATGAACGGTAAATTTCCAGATGGAAATGAGATATTTTCAACCTAACTTGGTCACACAAGAACTTTAAATTTAAGTTCGGCAATATCATTTTACTCAAATTTGTCCCCATAAATAAATCGATATCCTGTTCGCAAAATGTATGCCTAAACAGCAAATAAAAGAAATTTGATCAACGCTTGTACTTTCCGAACTTCAGCATTATAATATACTAGTCCAGTTCATTATCTTTCTAATTATTTGTTGAACTCTTTCCACGTATTTCGAAAAACATCACGCAGAGTCTTAGATAAGTGGTAAATAATATTTAACGAGTACGAATAAAAATGAATTATATCTCTTTTTACAAGTGAAAATACTCGTATGACGTGTTTCTCTAAGACAAATATACAAATATATTATTGTCGTGATCAAAAACAATCAACCATATTCAGGTTTGAGCACACAACTGAACATTAAATACTTCCAAATTCACATTGTCAATTTTCACTGAATAAGGTGAGATAAAAAACATATAATAGAGTGTATTGGTAATAATTTCCTAAACTTATTGATATATTCTGAACAAGAACTAACCATTTGTATAGCCTCAACCAAATTGACACTATCAGCGATGAATTAAAACAAATATTTGTCCGAAACACGGTAATAAAAGCAAATGCTGAAGGAAACTTAGAATCTTTTATTCAAGAAGACCCTTTTGCTTTCGCTGACAAAGAAACCTTTTCATCACTTATGAAGGCAGAATATTAATCTCAATGGATAAACATGAAGCCGGAAGTTGACCAGCAAGTAATTATTTCGAGACTTATTGGTATCTCGACAGGCCCTCTGTTTCAAAAGACAAAAGAAGGTGGGGAATGATAAGTGCTTAACCGACTTATAGGAAACCTGAAGATAATGGTTAGGTTAAATCTGTTCCTTAGTATATTAAAGGGTAGAAACAGTATATTAAGTAATCTCCGAAAAAGAATTTTCGCCCATTACGAATAGGTGTGGTCCATAGTAGTCAAACATATTACTAAATCTCATCTTTCTTTATAGAGCTTCAGGTAAATACATGTCAATGCTCCGGTCATTTCTTACCAAATACCGTATACTTTAGAATGTGTTTGTAGGGCCAGCGAAATGCGTAGCGGCTAGTAATATGTCAAGCACACACAGCTTATTCTAGTTTCAAGCTCTCAAGTCATATTTTGACGTTGTTGATTATACGTTTATTAGCACTGACTGTCTTCAAATGATCGTATGTTTGTTAATCGCTTTCCCTATTCATTACATATCTGTGACTTATTTTTGGTCTGTCTACAAATACTGGGCTACGTTTGGTCAAGTTGAGTTGGCTCACTCACGTTCTCTGCCGCGCGTTACTTTATTTTCTGTTTTTCCAACAACACTCTCCGCTTCGTTTCACTTCGCTTTTCTCTCTTCGCTTCGTTCTTCAGGTCGTCTCTGAAACAAAGAGTATTGGAAATATACGTGTTCAAAACCTATTCTCGTATTTGTCTCATTTTATGCCACTTTACTCTAAAGTGAACTAAGTTGATAATTTTGTATGAGGGTTGGTGTCATGTATATTTCAATAACAAACATCATGCGATTTAACTGCAGTCAGATACAGAGCTACTATGAATATCACTAGGCCCTAGCCAAATCAGTCACCAGTCGAGTCACTTAATATTGGACATTTCACCGATCCTCATAGCCAAGGATAAGTAATGCGCATAAGTTAGTTGCATACTAGTGGTTGGCTCACAAGGTGACGGTCACACTCTTTTCTTTTAACTACCCATGACAATATATTTCTGTATTGACTTCGTTTGTGTTGTATGTCATCAAAGGGGCCATGGCACCAACATACGACGGAGGGATAATCAACGTTGGGTATTACCGTGAAGTGCGAACTTGATGTCGGTCGACTGATCACACCATTCTTTTCTAACTCGAGTAGGCTCCCAGTTATTCAAAACAGATAATCCACGTTGATATCTAGATACCTAACGCTCTACTCATTCTCAAAATATTCCTTAGGTCTCACATGCACCTGCACGATAGTGTTTGATGTGTTTTAATTATTTGTGCATAACAACCGCTCGGTAGTCATACTGATATTCATATCAATACAATTCAGATTAGATCAGTCTAATCCAGTCTTGGATTTATTTGACTACAAATCAACCACTGGATATTCTATTGCCAGCGTTACTTCATTCTATGTATTCTTCAATTATAGGAATGTTGTTCTTGCCTTACCGATCCGTGCCACCAAATCTGCCTGCATCAGATCATCCTTGCTTATCAATGATACTACCAAAATAAGTAAAACTCTCCACCTCTTCCAGATCTCTATCAAGTGTGATTTAGTTGTTGCTGGTTGTGTTACACTTCAGGACCTTGCATTTTTCCTTGTGTATGTTGAGGCCGTCTGATGCGGAGGCTGCTGCTACACTGGTTGTCTTCACTCACATTTTTTGGTGTTTATGGGATAGAAGAGCTGGGTCATCTGTGAAGTCCAAATTCTTTGGCTGCATCCAAACTGTTCATTGTGTTCTGTGTTCCCAGAGACTTTTATGAACATACAATAATCATTTTTGACGTTACGCCTCACGGATTACGATTTCTGGAACAAATAAAAACTTACAAAATGTAGGAAGCATAAGTGTCATACCTACACAAAACAATACTCCTTGTAATTTTGTTCCATGAAATCAAAGGTCATCAGGGAACAATGAAAATCACCAACTTTCGATATGTCCTCCAGCTAATTAATAAAGAATCTGAAGCGCCATATCTTTTTTCATTTACTCACTCACAAATACGTTATGGACTACATGTTGCTAAAACTAGCCACCTGATTTCCCCTTCCTTTTATTATTTAGACCGTCGACGGTCATAGTGACCTAAATAAATACTAGTCCAATGCCACTAAAAGTGGACTTTTCAGTTCCATGGCTCCCGTAGTGTTGATGACACCTTGCATTTATCTAATATCATAAGTAAATCCTTCACTAATGTCATTTTTGTTCTGCACAGCTGTCAAAGTAGACAAAGTACATATGCTACAACACGAAGGAACGGTGTCACACGTAAGGTAGTCAACGTTATAAACTATCAGGTCACACTATTCACACACTATTCACCCCCAAAAACAACTTATGATCGGTGGAAGACACTATATATGCATTTAGAGGTCGAAAGAGATGAAGCCGTCTCATTGTTTAGAAAATCAGACCCACATGAATGAAAGCTTCACAGTTTAAAAGTAATGTATCACTGATATTTACTTATCTAGCTCCAAATGGAATAGTCTTCTGAATCTGTCAACATGAGAGACAAGGATAGTAGACGGTGGAAAGTATCTGCTACTGCATAGATCTTTTGACTAAAAAGTCAAATCAATTCAACGCTACTTAAAAAGTAAAATGGTGTTCTAGTTATTATTATTGTTCTGATAGCTTGTTATGCATCAAGACTACTGTTATTATTATTAGCTTCAACATCATATTTTTAGTACAATATAGATTTATTAGCACGAAATATTTCAGCGAGTTTCCGTTTCTTACATCTTGGTCTATCCTGACGATAAATATTGAGTGGTCGCCAGTAAGAAGTTGGCAGTCCAGTAAATCGACATGTAAATAATGCACGTTCCTTCGGCTACATATCGCCAGCAACCGAGATATCTCTGATTGGACCTTTGTATCTTGTACAACGAAAGGTTGTACAACTTTCATAAACACACCTTAATAGGTTATGCGACTAATAGCCACAATGCTGTGTTAAAATAAACGAAATTAAATAAGTTATTGAAATATCTAGATGGCAGGAACAGGTAGCCGAGATGCCCAAGTAGGCCGCTGTTTTAGCTGAAATAACTTCAGTTGAAGTAGGCGCAAAGCATAACATTTTTTTTTAAATTATCATCACCAGTTCATGTGTAAATTGGTTGTTTGCGAATTTTCTTTGTCATATGGATTCTAATAATTTACAGCTTTCCACTATTTTACGGTTATCAGTTCCTTTCATCTCTGGGTATTCTTTGTGTCTGGTGTTGCTTTGAAATTCTGTGACTAATTATGAGACAGTCCCAAAAAGCAATTGTCAACGCTCAAGTAGTCAGTATCACATGAGATAAAGCATGCACTGAGATGGGTGCACAGACGTTTGTACGAACATAACGCCTGTGGATTTCAAGTGGTTCATCGAACACGGTCGCGCGTGATTATGTCGGCAACGCTGCACGGACACAAACAGCTTGCTATCCGCGGCTGCTGCAAAAGTGAATGCTACCAAAAAGACTACTGGCATGGGTAATAGATGCATCAAATAGTACTCGCTCTATCGACACAAATCGGTGTGAAGTTATCCCACACAAGCTCACAGTCGACTGACTTACATGGATCAAAGGAGGATGGACCAACCCCAACTACGTCTGTCCGAAATAAAACCTCAAGAAGGAGGTTTCTTTTGTTTCCTGCCCTCCAAAAGGTAGTTGGCAGAAAACTCCTACAAGGCCAAATCGAACGGTTGGGCCTATTTCCAGCAAGAAAAAGTAACCTCACTACACGAGTCATCGATAACCACACAGGATCCCACAGTATGTATTACGTAACCGTGATTGCTACTTCAGTCAAGGCTGATAAGTGTGGACGAGTCAACAATGAAAAACGATCTGATGTCGCTAAAAAAAACAGCCACTCTTCCAAAGAGTAGTTGAGAAATCGAGGGCTCGCCACAGTGAAAGGTCAGTTGTCATTCATGGAGTCAGGGGGAGTGAAAGCTCAGAATCAGAAACTCGCTTCAAGCATGACATTGGATCGGTAAGAGGTCTACTCAATCAGCTGATGCCTCAAAATATCTCCTGGAACACCTTACTGAAAGTTTGCAGACTAGGTAGTGAAACAGACATGAAACGAAATCAAACCAGGTTGCCGAATGTGGTATTTAAATCTTCCAGTTAAGTGAACCCTATAATACAGAATAGACATAAGCTAATGTGGTCAACGGTCATTGTCTGTAATGGCTTTCCGCTTCAGGACAGTATGAAACGTAGAGAAGTTGGAAAGGAAATAAAACCAAGGTTAAATGCTGACGAGAATAACCTCAAAATTGTATGCGTTCAGGTAGTGTGGCTTCGATAGAGAACGATACTAAAGCTACATTGCGTGCAGCATAAAGCCATATAATTGGTCTTCAGATCCGTCACACAAATGCCTGAATCTTGCCCAACGAGCGACTGAAGTTAGTGTACAGATAGACTATGTAAAATCCCAACTAAAATTTGGCTGAAGGATAACTATCTCGGCATTAAGATACTCACTATTTCCCCTTCGAAATCAGAACAAGATGACTGGGGAAATAACGGCTCTGAATGTCATTATAAATACAAGTATACATTATTACCTAAACAAATATTACCGCTCGGTTATTCAAACAATAATTGTTCCCAGAATAATCGATCTAAATTACAATAAACAAACAAATTGAAACGGAATATAAGAAAATTACCGAACGCATCAAAAATTAAGTGTTATTCTATTCTTTCTGGATAGATCAAGTTAAAATCCGTTCAAGAGATAATAGTTTGTTGTTTTATAACATAAAGTGTTTCCAATTCTGGAAAAGTGCTTCAATACACAACCAAAATGCACAATTACAGTCACCTCAAGCAACACAATCAAAAGAGGGAACAATCAATATGGCTGCCGCCAAAATGAAGTACCAAACAAAACAACATAAATACAGTCCAAGAAAAAACACAGAAAATCAGTGAAAGCGAAAGAAAAATGAGAAAAAATGAAATATTACAGTCTCAAATGGCACCAAAAGGACTAAAAAATTGTACAACTAAAGGAAGCAATGAAGAAGGCTGTGAATGCATATATGGAGGGATTTTCACGCCCAAAACCTTCGAAATGGATCTTACAGACTCCATTGATCCGAATGTGGTCGCCGTCACAAAAACTCGACTGACTCAATAGATAGACTGTAGAGAGCTTGATTTTGAAATGTTCACACAGGTCAAAAGCAACAGAACCCAGAAATCTGAAAGTGGAGGATAAGCTCTATCCACTACAAACAGTATCCCGTTTACCGTTGTCGATAACATATCTCATGAAAGTGGGAAATGCAACTTAGTTAGTTGCAACTTGAAATTCAAAGGATATGAGATTCCGATTAGTTTAGCTTACCGCAGTCCCAATTGTGGTCTTTCAGCAGTTAGTGTTAAATCCAAGAACACTGTAATATGCCTGCGGAGTCTGAGGACTGAGTAGTCAGGGAAATATTTGAACAGAAGCTAGTTGACGTGGTTATCATATACGCCACAATGCAACAAGTGGACAAAGCAATGAGGTACGATCAAGACACCCATTCATCCTCCTCAATAGATCACATGTCAACCCATCATGAGAACAATACCACAAAACTCCATTATATGCCACTGTTAGGTAGGAGTAACCATGCAGTTCTAGTCTTCCATTCCAATTAGGTTGTCAACAAAAATGTGTCAATCAAAGCCAGAACAAACTTCTAGAAGGCAAATAAACACGAAATCATTCGTTCGGCATCCTCAGCTGATTAGACAATACAGCATACCTTCATCCTTTACTCGAATACTGCACGCAAGCAGCTAGATCCCTACTGATGAGAGACAGTTAGCTGTTACAAGAGGTTCAGAGAACTGAAACTAAGCTGATCCATGGAATAGCAAAGCTCTCGTATGATGCTCAACTAGCTAAACCGGATCTACTTCTCTTGTCATATAGAAGAACCAGAAGTGACTTGATCAAATGGTTCAAATGGTTCAATGATCAAAGTTCATAAATTGCTCGGTGATAAATTCGCATCTGATATGCCCTCACTTTTCTTGTCTTCCAGAATACAAAAGTTACGAGGACACTAAAAATGTTTACAAGCCAAGAGAAAACGATTTGTTAGCTGACTACCGACTTTCTTATTGAATCACCAACGAGTGGAATTCATTATACTAATACGTGATTGAAGCTCCATCTATCGACGCTTTCAAGAGAAATTTGAATTAACTAAGAGACCACGATTGCCTGGACTAACACAGGCCACTTAGCCTCCTGTCCTTTCAAAACCGAAACTTTGTTATCATCGGTATCGTAGTAACCGATAGGTTAACATATCAAAAATGTACGTTACAGAATTTATTGATTCCAAAATTAAACAGCGGAGAGTGCTGCTGATATCAAAACAAAACTCTCCAGTTTGTCAGACTATTGAGGGAATTTTGAGGACATACAATCTGAATAAAGAACAAGCTAACAATTTTGAAGTACTATGCATAGATTGCAGGAAGGATTGTACTACGGTAGAAACATATTTATGGCATAAGCTAATCTACCGAAACAGACAGGTGATTGAAAACCTATCGCTTTCTTTTTTTAAACCGTGATCTCCCATTTGATGAAATATCTGTGTCACATTTACGTTTATTCACATCATTACATCCCAATAAACCAACAGAATTTATTGATTTTATCCTCGTATAATTCGTGTGGTACACCTGAAAACTAGTTAATTTTCTCGATCCTAAAATCCAATACAAGACATCGGATATCATTACTCGATTTCTCATGCGTTTTTTTATAAATAGTCAGCATCTCGCTCTATTAGTCATGTGGACTTTCAGTGTTTGCAAAGTTAGATAGCTGCGAAAAACACGTAACTGTTTAACTAAAGCATACCAGATGTGTTAAGTTTTCTGAAAGTTAAAAATACTTGTCAGTTGTGTATAATATAGCTGTCGCTAACACTAATTTTGAATTATGGCATGTCAGAAGAAGGTTGTACATTGCGTATATTTTTTCATCTTGCTACTTAGGAATCCTCTTGAAGTACAAGATGTATTGCTCTATCCGGAATTCTCGCCTACAGAATTAGACGAAAACGTTTCATCAGAACTGTTTCTCACATGAAATAACTTCAAATAGGGGTCCTATTCTCAACTAAAGCACTTCATTAAATAAATTTCAATACATTGTTTCAATTTATCTAGTCTAAACAGTCAAAATAATCAGCAAGTCCATTTACGGCCTTACTTTCTGAATGTAATAAACCTGCAGCAACATCACTAAAACAATCTCAACCAAAAATTCCCAGGAAAAATCATTTGTTCTCATTGCCGTGGTCCCTAGTATTGATTCTGAAAGGTCTAAAGCTTTTATACTATTCTCAACTGACTTGGTGTTAAGTTACTTGTGTCACTAAATATGTGTAGCGATCTTGGTCGTGATTCACAGGCAACGTAGAACCCGTCACATGTGCATATTGGTTTAGATTGTTACATACTATTATCACAGCAGGACAAAATCATAAAGGCGAATCTTGGGGTGATATGGATAGTAATAGTAACAATACCTAACATGATGTATCTAAGATATTGTCCGAAAAATCATGATTTAGTGGAATAAAATTTACAATTTGGGAACTTAGGATCTAAGTGAATGTACCTCTATCATTGTGAACGCTTCTGAACCATGTTACTAAAACGTCAGTTACGGTACTCATTCAGTCTTCAATCAGAATTGCCAACTCAGTGGTCCCAACCTAAACAACCAATGTTTGGAAGGCACTAGTGGTTGAATACTAGCAACCTAAGAATATCCACAATTTTCAGACGCTACGTTTCACAACCATAAAGAAGGACGTAGCAAACTGCTGTGCAGAATATTGTTTCAACTGGTATACAGACAGTTCTTCTAAATCACAAGTGATACGACTTATCCAACGCTGAGCTCTCCGAATTCATGTCTCAATCTTGTCAGGTATTAATTCGACAGGTTTGATGAGACACTAAGATAAGTGAAGTGATCAACACGTTCAATTATTCCACTCATTGTTAGTCCAAACGATAACACAAACCAACCCTGAAGCAATACTTTGCATTTAAAAGGATTATGGTTGTGAAGTGAATGCCAATGAAGCGATTTCAATACATGGTCTTTACTCAGTTGGCGGTATAACACTTAACAGTACATCTAAGTCATACATCAAATGTGTATTAATATTGCGAGTAAGATCTCGGTAGACAAACTTCCCTTTACGTGATCCATGTCCACTGGAGAGATATGGACGCCCCATCCCATCTTTGCATCATTTCCATAAACACAGACCTTGATGAACTTTCTAGGATTCACCAAGTGTGTCTTTACCTACAACAACAGTATTTACTATTCACAACCAATAAGTTGATTCACAAACTCTATGGGTTAATCATCAAGTGACATGACGCAACTCGGGATCGTTTGCAGTTTACTTCGTCTAACCTTAGATCCCAAGTTCCTAGATTTTTTAATTCTATAAATCCGTATTTTCTTTCATCAAATCTTTTTTAATACCACTAATACTTTTGCTACTTACACTACTCTAGCATCTTACTGTGTTAATATGATGCGGAAACTCGAACAGAACCGAGAATGTACTATGGTTAACGTGGCTTACGACTCATTAACTGATAAAGTGAATTGTCTCATGAGAGAGCATCGAGTTCTATCCAGCTAAAAACAGACCTGAATAGATGCTAGTAATGTCAAAGCTTCTTTTGATAAATCTAAGGTTCGTCTCCTGTCGTTTCTTGTTGAAATAGGCTTGGAATTCTGTTGCAAAATCAATAATCCCAGTACCGAATCCCCTTATGAAGAAAAACTACTTCACATTTTAGTAACATTGTTACTTCTAAAGACAAAGACAACTGACATATCTTAAAAATCAGTCGTCACCTAGTTAATATTCTCGGTCTTGTTGTCATCAGCGCATAATAAATTAAAGGAAGATCTCAGCAAATACCCACTGTTATTGTTTACAATTTTTTATACTAATTCTCATATGCTTATTGTTAACAAACAAATTATTTTAATCCTCTATTACTTCCATGAACAAACCTAACTCCTACTTTATTTTTCAGGTACCACATTTATTTCTGGATGGCAAACACATAGGAGGAGAACCAGAAATAAAGCGTCTACATGAGAGCGGCGAAATGAGACGAATATTTAAGGAAGCAGGTCTTTGAGAACTTATAGTCAAAATAACAAACTAAGAAATGTAGAAAGGGACATATTATTGCTAAACACTTAAAGTTACATTCATCTAATCGAAGATTGCTACAAAATATATACCATATTGGAATTAATGTAACGCTTTATTGATCTCACGAAACTAACCAAAAAGTAAATAACTACTTTCGCTACAAACTTAATATCATACTACAATAAATTAGACAGGAAGCAGAAGCGAAACGAATCGAATTATGATACCACGAAAGTCATCCCGTAGCCAATTCAAACACGAAATCCGCACAAAATATCACACAATAATAACTGCACACTTCACTAAGTAAAATGTTTAAGTAAGACCATTGAGTTGTTATTAGCTGGTGTTAATAAATGCTGAGTTTGCCTGATACTACTTGTTCAGTTACAGCCAAAACAATTCAGCAGAACAACTTTGTTGAGTCCTACATTAGAGACTAACGCTCACCAAACAAACTGTCTAAATATTTGAGTCACGTCAACCAGTATAAAATTAAATTTCCATAAAGTCCACGTAAAGTTAATCATTAAAATCAACAGACTACGATCATTATTCCTAGTAAGTTAATATATAAACCCAATAATGCATACATAATTCAACTGGTTGTTTTATCTCTTTCATTCAATGTGAATTAGTATACTGTAGACCACATGACTATACTTTAAATACATCAAAGTTACGAAAGAAACACTTTGCGGGACAATGAAGTGCTAAAATAAAAACAAAGGTAAGATTGAACATAAATCTTAGCTCTTAAATATACAGCAACAGTATTGTTTAGTTATTAACCTCTTCTAGGAGGTAAGCCACCGCGAATAGATCCCGGCTTTCCAGTAGCACAACCTCTACTAGTAGGTAGGCTGGAACGTCTGGTAGCTCTTGGCACGGAAGCAACAGGACACCATTTTTTTCTTCGAACCGGGCCACTAGTACATGCACTATCTGATATACTTGACTGAGCAGTAGAAGGGTCAAAGGAATCCCAGACAATGGGTTGAATCTTTGGCCGAGCTGTGCTAGAATCACCAGAGATCTGAGATTCTAAAAATAACAAAAGAGTATGATTAGTAAGACTTTGATGACTACTAACAGTAATAGAAATCCATAAGCATAATAAAACAAAAATGATCAGTGCTCCCGCAAGATGAATTTAAAAAATTATTTAAAAAGTCTTTCAGAATACAGCGATAAAAATCCAATAATCACCTTTGGAAGCTGCAACTGAAGCAGAGAATGTAGAAGGTTTAAAAAGTAATGGAGTGGTGGTTGAACTTGGAACTGTATTCACTGGCAAAAATGATTTGAAAAGTCCCGTGCAACTACTAGACGGAAGTCCAGACTCAGTAGTAGCAACTGAATATGGAACAGTTAGCGAAGAAGGCTTAAAACCGGAGAAAAGACCAGATGAACCCAATAGTGAGCCGGAACTTTTGGGTAGACCACAGCTGCTGAAAAGACTAGGAATAGACGATTCACCAAATAAACTCTTGCTAGAAGAAACAGGTTCCATCTCCGTATTGAGAGAAGTCGGTGCTTTTTCTGAAATCTGAGAAGTGGAGTCACTTTTCTCCGTACTGTTCGTCTCATAGTGTAATTGTCCATCATCTCCACCCACCCTTTCATTACAATCACCGACATTTTCCGGTACTCCCACATCTGTAGGTGCTGTGTGTTCATTTGTTTCCTCGTTGCCGTAATTGTCCACACCAGAAGAGTAATGCTCCTCACCATCAGCACCACGTGGCTGCGTATCATCATCAGAACCACCTTAACAAAGTATCGGATAAAATGGGAGGTAAATCTTGATTAAATATTCCCGGATAAAGCACGATGATCATTTTATTTTTATGTAGACTTTCTTACGGTTGATATATGATAGAAATAAAACAATTTGACCCATTTTATAGACAGTGATTTAACTACGTATTCCCTAGTAAATCAGTGATGAAAAATAGATTGGGAAACTTTATAAGTAGAACAATCGGATGGAAACATGCTAAATTCACATAGCATCTATCTAATGTATATGATACATCCTTAAAGCAAAATTACATCAAGATCATAGTATGTAAATCAATTAAGTGGAAGCAGTGTTTAGATTTTTTAAAAATGTGCACAATATGCTAAAAGTTAATAATGTAGAATGAAAGTCAGTAATATCTGTACCTATTTTGTGACAGTTCTTTAATATATACTATGTATAAAGAGTATTATGCCGACAACTTATTTCCAATAAAACTGATTATTTACCCATTCGCTTTTTACCTCTTGCCAAAGGATACACAATGGCTCTGAGATTATTTGCTATTAGTAGCTTTTGTCAGTGTGGAGTACGCATTACTCAGTAGTTATATTTTTTCGCATAGAGGATGTATCAGCTGTGAAAAAAACTCAAAATATTTCATAAATGAACTTACTACTCAATTCGATTACTTCTTGTTCTCCTTCTTCCTCCTCTTCTTCATCTTCTGTATATGAGTCACAATTAGCTTCATCTTCTCTTTCATACTCATCATAATCCCCTTCTTCCATGTAGTCTTCTGCTTCTCCTTCTTCAGGTGCATAACTTTCATTGTAAACAGTATCAACTTCTTGTCTACAAAGATCTGCAACGAATTCCGACGGCCTTGAAGTTGTAGGAACAGCACTGAATCTAATATTATTATTGTTATTAGCATCAAATGAGGAATCCTTTGAATCACTTTCAACATAATCATCATCCATGGATCCAGATTCACGTTGATCAGCATCGTAAAAAGCATCATTCTCCGAATAACATCCTTGCTCTTCATCAGAAGACTCGCATACCTCTTCTAGTGTACTTGACGTAGGTTTCATAGGACTAGTTATGTGTTGATCAGATGTTCGGACTTCTGACTCACCAACTTCAATACTCTTAAATACAATCAGTAAAATGAGGAAATATTATCATCAGCTAGGAGTTAAAATTGAAAAACTGAAGGCAACTAACGACAAAACCACAACTTTAAACACGATAGTAGAGAACTATTCATCAAAAAACAAAAAATATTGCCTTAAGACGTACAACTATCTACTTTGAAGTGACTCAGCCTTTTAGGAGTCAGTTACACAGATAGAAAACAGTAACCGTTGAGTCAGAAAATATCAATACAGTTTGAAATAAATCCTTATAACCCAAATATTATATTTTCATACGGTATTTAATGTTCTCATCCATCAATGATTACAAGGTCAGGTAGAGTTATCGAACGTTACAAAATGTTAGGTAATTAGACAATATTGCTTGATACATCCGAAACTGAAGGTAGACACATGAAACGATGGATGATTAAAGAAAACATTGGATAGATTTTATTGAATGCATAATTTACAAGTGAAAATATAGGTAAATTGATATTAGCTTTCTGCTTCAAATTAATTAGAATTTCGTTCTTAATCATTCACTATCTGGTGAACATTTTCATTTACATTTGGTTGTTATTAAAAGCGTTTTTAGTTAGCAAAAATCTTACTACATACAATATGGTCTTCAAATAACTTTAAGAGAAGTTATATGGTATGAAGACAGGTTTTCCAATATCAAAAGATATCAATAATGGAAATGTTACATCATAGCGTGTATGGTCAGATCTGCAGCTAAATACAAACGCATTGTAATTATTTAATTGCGTAGGTAGGAAAATAGATACTAAAGAGTAACACGTTTACTATTTAAGGAATAATCAGTGGTGTTGACCGACAGATACTTTGCAAAAAACAAGTTAAATTCAGTACATCAGGATATGGAACTCCATGGTTCGATAAAGCCATAAAGTAAAATCTATAACAAAACAAAATTTCTTAAGCTTACTTCGGTGTGACAATCCATTGCAGGTATATCAATTTCACCTCTTGCATTTTCACCAAGCTCTCGTCTAGTAACAGTATCAGATGCTGTGGTTTGCTCCATTTCTACACCGGCTTCATTTGATGACTGTTCAACACTTTCTGAGGTTTCAAATGTTCCAGGAGTTATAATACCAGCTACACCGGTAGCGACTGTCAATGTACCTAATGTAGAGCCTATAACGATGTAAAAGTTAACAATGTGATTAAAATGCATATTATTTCATTTGATCATGATTACATAATACTGAACAATAAAACTGTACATTATTATACTTGTTAAAATCTATGACAAAATATAAATTAATGATACTGTTACAATTAAAACCCTTTACTCATTATCAACAAGATAAAACATTTATAGACATTTAAGCATCTTAACAAAATTCGACTTCCTTCATCAATTATGAATTCACAAATACAGCACACAATAACTGAATAAGTACTAGTCACGATTTTCAAATAGCCCAAGCTGAGGAAAGTGATGATGAATTCAGATGACACTAAGAAACTTGATCATTATTCTTTTAAATATTTAGATCGTAACTAGTTTTGTTTTCGGAAATATCAGTTTAAGGGACGGAAGGACATGCTTGTAGTGTATATTACACAAAACTAGAAGAGTTGTACTTTCTGAATTTCAGTTAATACTAACCTTTACTCAAAAACTACAGAAAATTCAAGGTAGACAACTGATTGTCAATTTATATTGCTACATCACAATTTGGTTTAAGTGCACATTTTATTAAGTTTAAGTTCGATGATCAACTTAGTTAAGCATAACAAGCTTCATTTAAAATATTTATAGTCAATAAAAAGAATACATACAACAATAACTTAATAATGCATCATTTCTTTATCAGTTAATGTGAGAAATGCAAATGATTAAAAACGTATTGAGAATAACAACACACATGTAACTAGCAAAGTATCTTGATTAATGGTTTCGTAAAAAACTGGGTCCAAGGAAACAAACATCTGACTTACTACTGGGTTCTTGTTGTCCAGCAACTAAACGAGAAGCAGTTGCATGTAAAGGAGTTGTAGCAGGTACACTAATACCAAAGGGTGATCTACCAAGGACAATTGGACTAGGACTTGCCTGGGTAAAAG